CGCCGGGAACAAAACAGGGCCTTAAACTCCCTCACTACCGAGAGGGGTTTGCTCAGCCCGGAGACAAACTCCCCGCTGTAATTCCTTTCCCCGTACACTTCCTGACATGGGGAAGATAACAAAGGGGAAAGTTTAAAGCAATAAATATCCCCGATCCGGCTCGCCCTTGGTGTTGGACTGCGTCTGCGGTGCTTGAGTCAAGGATGGAGAGAACTTGGGGTTTCCAACTCCCAAACAGGGTCTCGACTCAGAACACTCGCTCCCGATCYGCCTTTTTGCCGTCTTTGTAGTATCTTTGGGGATTTCCCCTCCAATTCCTTGGGCATTTCTTTTTCCCTGGCTGCCAAAGACCATACTGCTCTACCTATATTTCCCGTTGCAGTTTGCCCATTTCTGCCTGGATTGAAGCGGGGACGGTGTAGCTGGCCATTCCTGTGAAAGATTTAATGCTCTCAGATAGGACTCCGGGCGGGAAAGGACGGCATTTTTTAAGAGGTAACACGATTTAATAAGCTGAAACGTATTATCAAGTCATGAAGGCTTCCTGGCCGCGCAGATACCCACTGACAGGTTTTCTTGTGTTTTGATAGATTTAGTGCTGTTATGGTACAATTCTCCCTCGCATTCGGTAGCTAAGACTTGAAGATTAAAGATCGCACACCTCTAGATGAATCAAAGCCTGCACTGCGGAGCAGCTAATACATTTCATGATTGATTTCCCTCTGCCCTGCTTCCAGGCTCAGCCTTGTGCAAAGCCCTTTCCCCTCTCCGCGCCCTGCTTGGCCCAGCTGCAACGTCCTCGCCGGAGCCCGCAGAGCGGTCAGAGGAATCTCTGTCTTAGGGAGAAGCTTTCTGAATATCACCTTTCTGGCCCTAAGCGCCCTCGAGAAAAGTTTTAAACTGAACCGGCTGAAGTGACCGTTCCGTTTGCCCAAGGGGCGAGGCCACTCCGAACCACCAAAATGTCGTGGGGCAAAAATGAGCCCTGCAAGCGGAGTCAGAAGAGTCCTGTGTGTACAAGGACCTTGCTGTCCCTCCATGTCAGGTGCGAAGGGCTGAGCCCCTGGGGCATTAACCACTCTGGGGGTGGGATGAGATTTGGGAGCTCCCCTACCTTTTCACGTCTCCCACAAAGCCCCACAAGCCGGGAGGGGTCCCCGCTACCGCCCTCGCACTGGACTCGCTGCAGCCGCCGCCCGGCTCGGGCACTGCAGCCCTGAGCAGCCCTTGCCGGCAAAGGCGCCCAGTCCGACCCGCAGGGCTGYCTTCCTCACTAAACCTGCACCACTTTATTTATTCCTCAGAGTCATTTCTTCTTTTCATTATCATTGCTACTATCATTATTTTCCTCTCTTTCTTCATTCCCTTCTCAAGCCCTCGTAGTTTTTATCGCTAAGCAAACTCAGGACAAAATCGACAATTTTTTATTTACGGAATGGAAAGGGTTAATCCCAGCTCTCGTTTTGGGGTTTGGTTTAGATCTTTTTTCTTTCATTTTTTTTCTCCAATGCATATAATCTCATTTGAGCTCCTGAACGTGGTGAAAGCTATTGATTGCTGCACAGAAACACCGACTTTTAGCAGACTCCCCAGTATCCTGCCAAAAAGCAAATAAACAAGAAAATAAAAAAAAAAATCAAGAAAAAGATAGAATTAACACATACTTTCGGAAATGTCTCAAATACGTACAAAATGTACAAATCCCGTTATATGTCTTCCCATTCATGTGTATATTGATATCATAAAAGAGAAATCCTTTGGCAGGATTTTTCTTTAAATACCTTATTCATTGAAACTGGCAGTTCCACTCATTATTCCACTCCCTTAAACCCGATTCTGATGCTGGCTAAATATAGAGCTTCGCCTTCCTGGGAACGCGAATCGAATACACAGTAAGCAAATCAGTAGCACAGGAGGAGGAAGGAAACCTTGATCAAAGCCCTCCTTTTCTTCCCAATCCTGGTTTGTTGGGGCGGAGACAGGTTTCTCCCTTATTGCACATCATTTGCAAAGATCAAGTCTCGAATGCAAACACCTCTCCCAGAAGTAGTAGGTTTGGGAAAAAAAAAAAAAAAAAAAAAAAAAGTTAGGAGGTGGAACTTAGTAGATTAAAAAACAGACAGTTATTTTCGAACAAAGGTGTATCGCTGAGAATTGAGAAGCATTATTTCATGGCTGGGAGGGACAAAATCATATATATATGTGTGTGCATATTAATGGGTCTCCTGTTAAAATTAAATACAAACATCTATGGGAAAGAATGATAGAGATAGAGATAGAGAACAGAAAAACACCTTCCACATTTAAGTCTCTCTAAAAAAAAAAAAAAAAAAAAAGGATTCTCTTCTCTATCACTGAGATCAGACTCCTGTTAAGATTACGCACAGTCGGTGTTTTTTTGCCGATTCGCAGTGCGCCGAGGTCATCCCGGGGGCCGGGTGTGTGTCTCTCGGCATGCCCCTTCCGCGGGGTTTATTTGTGCGGAATATCGCACAGAAAGGCACAAAAGGTCAGAAAGGCGCCCGCCCCGGCGGGGCCGCGGCGCTGCCCGCGGCCACCAGAGGTCGCCGCTGCGCGCGCGCGGCCCGGGGCGCGCTCGGCCGCTGCGCTCGGGCCGCGCAAGAGGCCGCCGGCCCGGCCGGGCTTTGCAGGGGAAAGGCTGAATTGCCCTCGCCACGGCCTGCCCCAAGCCCCCGCACGCTCCCTCTCGCACCCGCTCATTGCAAGCACCGAAAATACCTTTCCGCGGACACTGAGCGCCGACACGGCCGRGCGGTGCGTGGCCGGTGCGGGTGCCTGGCCGAGCACTCAGGGCAGGCAGCGGAGCGCGAGGCGAGGAGAGCGGAATTGCCCCTTCCTAAAGCTTTACCCCAACCACGTGTCAKGCTGCCGGGAATTGCCAGTAATTCCTGGTAATTCCTTCTCGATTTACTCAGCTAAAACACGACCAAATAAACTACATACACATGATATATATCATGCATATATACTAATACAAACATCGATATGCATATATTCACATTGCTGGCCTCTTCGAAGACAAGTGAACTACTAGTTAAGTTGTGTTTCCCACTGTTTATTTTAGCGTCACATATGTAAAGTAACTGCGTGTGTTTACTACCATATCTCTGCCTCCTGACACTATCTTGAGATCATTTCAAGGTGGCTTAATTATCTCTCCAAGTGGCAATGCTCAGTCCCGCTTCTTCCTTGAAATAAACCGGAGGGTAGATTTTTTTTTTTCTGAGTATTGCAAAAAGAAAACATCTTGCAAACTAAGTTAGGGCTCCAGAGATCCCTCGTGTTTAGTAGCTGTCACAGCAACAAATACAAGTTTCGGAACTTTTTCTTGCCTCCTTCATTTGCAACAGGATTTCGCCGCGGGCATGTGTGATGTGTAAATATGGCTTTGACTCTTGCAACAAAACTCTAGCCCCGTCCGTTCCTCTTAAAAACAAAATAGGACTTTGAAAAAATATGTTTTCTTGATGAATACTGATTGGAGGGCATTTATACACCACGTTGATGACGGCAATGTAACGGCCCCTATGGAAGAGAACCTAAAAATGGGATCCAAACAAAYTCTGGAGGAACCCTGAGGATGGGGAAGGAATGGGAAGGGAAGGGTCTGCGGRGGATAGGATGGGAAGCCGATGCATCTTCCTTCACTCCCAGGTTAAGAGAAATTCACTGTATAGCTCAGCCCGGGGGGTGGGGGCATACAAAGGAGGAGGATTTGGGCCGGTTTGGGCAGCTCTGCGCTGGGCCGGGCCGCGGGGGCGCGCAGCAGGGCGCAGGCTGCGCGCCGGCCCCTGCACTGGACTCACCACGCACCCAGCACTCAGTGGCTTCGCTCTACTCCTTTCCTAGGGAAATCAAGGGATTCTCTGAGGGGAGAGGCAGTTCTTCCCTTTTGTTTTCTTTTCCTTTTTTTCTTTCTTTCTCTCTTTTGCTTTTTTTTTTTTTTTAATGAAGGCATTTCAGTTCCTGCTCACCCCACAGGACAGGTCTAAACCTAGGACAGGTTTTAAATTAAAAAGAAAAGAAAGATGAAGGAAATAACGAGAGAAAGAAGGAAAAGGCAGGGGGGAAGGGTTTGGAAAAGACATTGATAGAATGGAAGGAGTGCTGAGAGACAACTTAAGGTAATTATTTGCAGCTTCTTCGATTCTGTGTTTAACAGAAAAACATGAAACTTTTGCCTACAATCTTAAGAGAGAAGGAGACTGCAGGAAAACATAAACATCGCATCGTGTAGACGGAGCCAGCTCGCCCTACCACTGACTGCTCTGAGGAGCTTC